CCAAAAGTTATTCAGAGTCACCACAAACTTTTACGATGGACGAGAGAACGCGCGTGAACGCGTCCCCGCCACCGATTGGTTTTGATCTAATAAAAGCGTCCCTTCCATCTCTGGTCGGGACTCTGGTTTGCATGTATTAGCTCTAGAATTACCACAGTTATCCAAGTAAATGTGGGTACGATCTAAGGAACCATAACTGATTTAATGAGCCATTCGCGGTTTCACCTTAATTTGGCATGCACTGAGACATGCATGGCTTAATCTTTGAGACAAGCATATGACTACTGGCAGGATCAACCAGGGAGCTTCGTTTGTCAAAATTAAATTCAAAGCACACAACTCGGAGTGGCCTAAGTGGACAATGACGTCCCGTTGACCGGCTCGTCGTTGAACTGCGCTATCTTGCGTGTCTTGCGAAATACGCCGAGGAACGCGGAAGAAAACATGATTTTATCCCAAAAGGATCCAATCGAGAATTCGACGACGAGTCCACGACGCATCCGACACTTGAAGCTTAAATCTTCAGCTCTCGTCGTTAATAACGAGGGTGAGATTTTTTTTTTCTTTCAAATACCGGTCGACCATCGCTAATAAGCGTCAACAACGTCTAAAAGGCAGCGTTGCCCTACCGGTGTTATAAAAGCCAAGGGCCTCAGAACTTCCGGAAGAGCCGACGGAGACCGTTCGTTATTCGTTGTTGACGACGCCTCGCTATGGACCGCCGCGGCACTTTTGTCATTCGAACGACCCGGTAAATGAACAAGACCGGGTCGGCACGGCGAGCTTCGAGGTGCCGTAATTAAACTCAAAGCACGGCCACGTGAATTTATCATTCAAGTGTCAACAGTCTCTCGTGAGAGTTGCGTGTTAACAAATACCCGACGATTTGGTCGCTGACGCTAGGCCAGGGCTTACCGCAGTGGTATACGTACGGGAGGTACACGTTGTATTCTCGCTCGGTATCGAGTGAGTCGATGCTCGGTTAGCATACCGTCGACAAGCTGAGAGCCACGACGACGGCGCATGCAACGCCAGAGGCGCGATCCGCATTGAGGGCCGTTCGGTCGAAGACCTTGACCCGCGGAAATGCTGTGAATTAAAGCTCGGCTCGACAACCGAACCGTCTCACTAGTGCCGAGGCGTCCTCGGGCGCGGCGAAGCAAAGTACCGTTTAACACGCAATCAAGCGAGACGAAAGTTTCCAATGACAATGACGCGCATTGCTTTCGGATCGACAGGGAGTAAAATTTTACAAGTTCGCGACGCGCATTGCTTTCGCGTTACGGCTGAGCGACACTCGTTCGTCGGTCACTGCCACGCGGATTGCTCCTTCGACAAGCGCATTGCCCTTGGAGCATACATATCCTCAAGAAGTTGATGCGTATGCTTTTCAAGCAGACCTCCAACAATCCAATGAGGCCCGAATAGCGGTACGGGAATGATCGTTGATGGAGTCGGGAAGACGCATTTCGGCTTTCGCGTTCCGAGGCAGTGTCCCCAAATTTTCATGGGTCCCCCCTCCCCCCGCCGCAACGGTGCCGCGATGCTCGCGCAACATTACGCCCTCGAAGCAGACCCAACACGATCCGGTCGATGTGAATTACCGTTTTATTTCAAATAAATTCGGTATGCGCTTTATACGTACAGGCTACAAAGGAGAAGCATACCAGTCGCTCGACAGATACTCGTTAAAAACACGCAGACAAGGAGAAACATTCAAAGAGAGACCTCGTACAATTAAACGAAAGTTAAAAAGAAGGGGCGTTTTTTTTTTTCAAGCATAAACCTCGATGCGCTTACGGCAACTAACTTTTTTCACGTAACAATCGAGTCTAAGTCAGTCACGGTTCGAACCAGCCAAAAAACCAGTCAGCCCGTCATCCCAGCACGCGCATTGCAATTTTTCTTGCCTTAGTCCCGGCATATCCAAGGGTTACTGACTGCGCGCCTGACCATCGAAGCACGCGTGCGACGTAGCGAGGGCTTATTGCGCTTGCTTATCAAGCATACCAAACGATTCCAGGACAAAGTCGTCGTTCGTTCAATAAGAGGGCGAGCAAGGCGCTCAAAGTGACGAGTGCCTACGGTATGAGAGTGATAGCGATACTTGTCGCTTCCATAATCGTGATACGGGCATGGCAGTAAATAGACCAAGCACGACACGCCGCCCTTTAAGCAAGCAAGCAAGCCAGACAATCGAGTAGCGATCATCGCGAATGATGCATCACAAGTCCGAGCGGCGCATTGCTTCCCGAGCATACCCTCTCACGGCAGTTGACGAGTATTAGGCAGACCGAAGGTTAAGGATAAAATGAATTATAAAATCGTTAAATTAAGTCCCAACTGTCTCGCGCGTGTTGCCCCCGCCACCACTACCTGCCACCATCGCACACGAGCATACCACCTACCTGCCCCGAAAGACCGCCGAAATTTTTCAAAGTCCCGCGACGCGCATTGCTTTTTCCCATCAACCTGCCCCGAAAGACCGCCGATATTTTTC